AAAGGTAAAGTAGGAGAACGAGCAGAAAGGGCAGCAGGGAGCAGGAAGGTAAAGTATGAGAAGGAACAGAAATGAGCAGGAAGGGACAGCAAGGAGCTGGAAGTTGCAGAAGGAGCACAAAGATAAAGTAGGAGAAGGAGCAGAATGGGTCTGCAAGGAGCAGAAAGGGATCAGAAATAGAAAGGAGCAGAAGGACGCAAAAAAAAAGCAGAAAGTAGCAGAAAGGTAAAGGCGCAAAAGAAACCAAGGAGGAGAGAAGACAGTGTCAGTATAATAAGAAGGCTGTGTCAAATGAAGAAGAAAAGGATATTTGAGCAAGAAGGACAAGTGAAGTGATCCCTCCACTTTATTCTGGACACCACATCATAAGGCTTTGAAACCTGGGCCTGGCAGGGAAACTTTGAACCTTATCATCTTCCCAAGTAAAAAAAAATCTCAGTGTTAATGTGTCTTTTATTTACTGAGTGTCAGGAAGTGTCACGTATTCATACGCTTATAAAAATGTGGTTAATGGCATTTACTGTCCACACAGGAAAAGTTGTGCCGAGCAGCAATCAAATCCACAGAAGGGTTAGTGCTGAGCAGCAATTATGCAAATGGGAACGTGGTAACTGCCTTTGGGGTCAAAGGCCGGTTACAGCCTATCAGATCTAGAGGAGGGGTATTTAGGCCCAGTTCTCATCCTGCTCAGTGCCCTGTCGTCGTGGTTTCCCTTGTGGTTGTCCGAGAGCGCATTCCTGATTCAAGTTTCTTCTGGCTTCTCCAACTGTGTCACCTCCGCCTAATGTACCTCCTGTAGTACATAAGGCACCTACTATCTCCCTATCTCCTCCCCTGCATTTTGATGGTAATATTCAAGTATGCCGGGGATTTAATAACCAAATTGAGTATCATTTTGAGACCTTACCGGGATCTTTTCCCACTGACAGAGCTAAAATTGGTTACCTGATGAACCAACTTAAAGGTAAAGCTTTAGCTTGGGCTAATCCATTATGGGAGAGTGGTGGTAGCATTGCACACAATTACCAGAAATTCCTTGTGGAATTTAAACTTACATTTGAACCATTAGGCAAAGAGGATGATGCCTCCACTGCACTAATGCATATTAGACAAGGGAACCGGTCTATCTCGGAGTATGCCATAGAATTTCGCACCTTGGCTTCCGAGGTAGACTGGACTAACAGCAGATTAATCTCAGCATTTAAGAAAGGATTATCTGAGACTATGTTGGATGAGATTGCTGCCAAAGAACTACCCAAAAAACTCAATGAGTTTATTACGTTTATTATGCTAATTGATAATAGACTCAGAACCAGAAATAAAGCCAGACGTATGGCTTTGCCATTAGCACCTCATTTCTACAGACCGGTTGTTCCTGACCTCTCTATACAGTCCGAACCCGAACCTATGCAGTTGGGGGTCACTAGACTGTCTGAGGCAGAAAGACAACATCGGAAAAGAGAGGGTCTATGCATATACTGTGGTGAAAAAGGACATATGAGGAGTACTTGTCCCATAAATCCAGAAAACTACCGCACCTAAGAACCTTAAGGGAACAGGTCTTAGGTGTAATGGATACGTCTTCTGGGAATAACAATAATAGATTTCTCCTTGATATTACGATCATAGTTGACAAAAATAACTTTTCATGCAAGGCCCTGATGGACTCAGGTGCAGCAGGAAATTTCATTGATGTTCATTTTGTTAAAAAGAATGCTATACCTATCAAAGAGAGAATATCACCTCTGGCCGTTGAGGGTGTTGACGGGAGACCACTCTCTCAACCCTTAATTTACCCATGAAACCTTGCCCATTAACATGTCTATTGGTGCCTTACATAAGGAAGATATAATATTCCAAGTTATTGCATCTCCTTTTTGCCCTATCATATTAGGCTTTCCTTGGCTTAGTAAGCACAACTCTCATATTGACTGGGCTAATGGGGAAATATTGGAATGGGGCAAGGATTGTAATGGGAAGTGTATGTTACAACTCACCAAGAGAGTGGGTACCATTAAATTACTCACTACTACACCTCAAACTCCCGAAGTTCCCGTACAATACTGGGAGGTTAAGGAAGTATTTAGTAAGAGTCAGTCCAATATCTTACCTCCTCACAGGTCATATGACTGCTCCATAAATCTGTTACCCGGCGCAGTATATGCCTTATCGCCACAGGAGAGTAAAATAATGGAAGAATATATCAAAGACTCACTAAACAAGGGCTATATACAGAAATCATCCTCACCTGCTAGTGCAGGCTTCTTTTTTGTAGAAAAGAAAGATGGAGAATTACGTCCATGCATTGACTACAGAGCATTAAATAAGATTACTGTTAAGAATGCCTACCCTATTCCTCTCATTTCCGAATTGTTTGATAGACTCCAGGGTGCTAAGAACTTTACCAAACTGGATCTCAGGAGTGCATACAATTTGGTAAGAATTAAGGAAAATCATGAGTGGAAAACGGCATTTAACACTAGATGCGGGCACTATGAGTACCTTGTTATGCCTTTTGGGCCATGCAATGCACCGGCCGTATTCCAGGATTTTATTAATGATGTACTCAGAGATTATATCTATTCTTTTGTACTGGTTTATTTGGATGATATCCTTATTTATTCTCCTGATCTGCAAACCCACCACAAACAGGTCACACAAGTATTGCAGACTTTACCGGAAAACAAACTTTATTATAAATTGGAAAAATGCTTGTTTGATCAGACTGAAGTACAATTTTTGAGGTATAACATTTCTGCCTCTGGTTTTCAGATGGACCTTAAGAAACTAGAAGCTGTTATACAGTGGCCAGTACCTAGCGGACTAAGAGCCATCCAAAGATTTATTGGGTTTGCGAACTATTACAGAAGATTTATCAAGGGGTTTTCTTCTGTAATAGCCCCCCTCACCAATATGACACGTAAGGAGGCTAATAGTACGGTATGGTCTAAGGAAGCTAGAGAGGCTTTTGAACTTCTTAAACAAAGGTTTACTTCTGCCGACATACTGAGACACCCTGACACCAGCAAACCCTTCATATTGGAATTTGATGCCTCCGAAACTGGGGTAGGGGCAGTTCTTTCTCAAAGGTAGAGTCAGAACACCCCTTTGCATCCTTGTGGTTACTTTTCCAGAAAGTTGTCTCCCGCTGAGTGCAATTATGATATTGGCAACAGAGAATTGTTGGCCATTGTCCTAGCGCTTAAAGAGTGGCAACATCTTTTGGAAGGTTCCAAGGATCTCATTTTGATCATTACAGACCATAAGAATTTGGCTTATATAGGGGATGCTAAACGTCTATCTTCTAGACAGGCTAGATGGTCTTTGTTTCTGTCTCGCTTTAACTTCCTTATAACTTACAGACCTGGTCCCAAAAATGTGAAGGCTGATGCCTTGTCTAGACAGTTTGATACTGAGTCTTTACAGGAACACGAGACATCCCCTATCGTGCCTCCTGAATGTATCATCGCTTCTACTGTTCTTTCACTGTCTTCTCCCTTGCTTGGTGCTTTAATGGAGGCTCAGTCTCAGGCACCATGCAATAAACCACTCGACAAATTGTTTGTTCCATTAGGTGAGAGAAAGAATGTGCTGAGGGTGTTTCACGACAACGTGACTGCTGGACACCCAGGTATCAATAAATCCATATCTGCGATCACAAGATCATTTTGGTGGGATTCCCTTAAAAAGATGTGAAGGACTATGTGCAGGCTCGTTCAGTTTGTGCTGTTTCTAAGGCCCCTCATAAGCTTCCTTGTGGTTTGTTGCAACCACTTCCTGTACCTAGTGTTCCATGGTCCCACTTGTCAATGGACTTCATCGTTGAACTTCCAAGTTCCAATGGCTATAGCACCATTCTTATGGTGGTTGACCGTTTCTCCAAGATGGTTCATTTTATTCCACTTAAAAAATTGCCATCCTCTCAAGACCTGGTTCTTATCTTTATACGTGAGATTGTACGACTTCATGGCATTCCTCACAATATTGTTTCTGATATGGGCTCTCAGTTTGTGTCTCGGTTTGGGAGGGCATTCAGTAAACAGTTGGGCATTGAATTGTCTTTTTCCTCCGCTTACCATCCCCAAACTAATGGCATGGCTGAGAGGGCTAACCAGTCATTAGAGTTATATCTGCATTGTTTTGTAAATAGCACTCAAGATAATTGGTCCGAATAACTACCCTGGGCCGAGTTTGCTAGGAACAATGCCACCCATGACTCTTCTGGTCACAGCCCATTCTTTGTTAATAACGGTCGTCATCCTACTGTCCTGCCGGCTGTTTTCTCTGAGACAACTATCCCTGCTTTGGATGATCGCCTTTCTTCTATCCGTGATACTTGGACCAAAGTTAATTCCGCTCTCAAAATTGCGGCTGATCGCTTCAAGTTCTATGCGGATAAACGGCGGGGTGCCAACCCTGTTTACCAAGTGGGTGACAGGGTATGGTTATCATCACGCAACATCAAATTGAAAGTTCTTAGTATGCATCCAGATTCCTGTGCCCCTTTCGTATCCTTCGGAGGATTAACCCTGTGTCATCTCTGGCCCTACCGGCCTCATTACGTATTCCAAATACCTTTCATTTGTCGCTACTGAAACCTCTTGTTTGCAATAAATATACTGTCTCAAGTGTCCCTCCTCCTCCTTTAGTTGTTACTGGACAGGAAGAGTATGAGGTTTCTTCCATAATTGATTCCAGGTTTTCTTGGGGCACTTTACAGTACTTGGTGGATTGGAAAGGTTATGGACCAGCCGATCGTTCTTGGGTTCCAGCATCTGATATACATGCTGGCCACAAAATTTGCTGTTTTCAGTTTCCTCTCAAGCCTGGTCCTGCCCACCCGGTTCTTCGGGTGGGGGGTAATGTCACGTATTCATCAGCTTATAAAAATGTGGTTAATGGCATTTACTGTCCACACAGGAAAAGTTGTGCCGAGCAGCAACCAAATCCACAGAAGGGTTAATGCTGAGCAGCAATTATGCAAATAGAATGTGGTAACTGCCTTTCAAAGGGTCAAAGCCCGGTTACAGCCTATCAGATCTAGAGGAGGGGTATTTAGGCCCAGTTCTCATCCTGCTCAGTGCCCTGTCGTGGTTTCCCTTGTGGTTGTCTGAGAGCGCGTTCCTGATTCAAGTTTCTTCTGTTTTTTTACTTTGGCTTTGATTTTGACTTCCCTGTATTCTGTATCCCTGACTTCTGGCTTTCTCTTATCGTTGTGTCTCTTTCTGTATCCCCTGACCTCGGCAAGTATCCTGACTATTCTTTGGTACTTTAAATCCGGCCATTCTAAGGCCCGGTAATATGTTACCTATTAGTCATCTGTGTGACACAATTCTACGTGCTGGATCAACTAGTAATCCTGACAGGAAGCACAGAGTGCCGTTGGATAAGAGTGTCGCTGATTGGCTCGAGCGGTCAGCTGGCACTCTAAGCCAATCAGTAGCTCCCCATTCACAAAAAGTAAAACCTTTTTATGAACCAGGAACTAGCGATTGACTTAGAGCGTCAGCTGACTCTAGCCAATCAGTGGCACCCATGCTTGACGTCAATCTGCACTTCCTGACACTCCGTTTCAGAAGCTGAATACCACTGAGCGAACTGGAGATCTGGAGCTGGAGGAAGTCTTTGGGGTTAAACCATTTAAGTTTAACCCCTTAAAGAAAAGAGATCACCCAGGGGCCTCCTGACATCATAGCATTTTCATTTAGATGAAGTTGTTATGGTGTCCAGAATTTTATTTTATTTGATTAAAGGATCACTATAGGGTCAGGAACACAAACATGTATTCCTGACCCCATAGTGTTAATACCACCATTTAGCCCCCCTGCTCCCTCATGCCTCCATAAATATAGTAAAAATCTTACTGTATTCAAGCCTGAAGCTGTAAATCTGCATGCTGTTAGACTCAGAAAAACAAGCAGTCTGCTGACATGTGGTAGCCTGATCCAATCACAATGCTTCCCCATAGGATTGGCTGAGACTGACAACGAGGCAGATCAGGGGCAGAGCCAGCATGATTCAAACACAGCCCTGGCCAATCAGGAGCTATAATTCTCACCTGAACAACCTCATTAAGCTGAAGTTGTTCAGGTAACTATAGTGTCCCTTTAAAGGAACACTATAGTGTCAGGAATACATACATGTATTCCTAATACCATAGTTGTGAAAACGCCATTTACCCTGGCTTTATGTAATAATGACTATGCCCCTCCTCTTCATGACACTGGCAAACAGGGCACAAACATAGATGTCATGAAAAATTCCTGCGGACGCCCATGCGCAGCATTTCAGCCCAAAGTCGCCGTGGCTTGACTGGGGCCCTGGAATGCTCTCTCCTGGAGCCAAATGGGGAATTCACTCCAGGCACCCCCAGGCACTAGACGACACTTAGTCCTGGGAGCTCTAGTCCTTACAAGGACTTTCCCTGTTGAATCCTCCACACTGGAACAGTGATTAAAGAGTAACCCTTTCCCCTCCCAGTTCTAGAAGTACAAGCTGGAATACTTTAATGGCAGCCACAACTGGCCTTATCTGCATGTCCTCATGCAAGGGGCACTCCCCCCGGACCGTGTGGGGGTCTGCAGCACAAAGTCACAGACCAATTACAAAGGTGTTTAAATACATGACACTCCCATATACAAGCATACAACAGGAAGTCATGGTCTATGCTAAATAGTATTCCTCTTCTAGGTACCAGGTAATATGTACCCTCAAAAATTATTTACAAAATAGAAAGTAAAAAAGAAAAATTAAACAATATAGAAAACAATTTAACATATGTACATTTGTAAGAATCACAGTCCAAATGTGCACAAACGTTTATGTAGCAAAAATACGTTGAGTATAAGACAACAAATTGTCTTGAAAACTTCTAGTGGTCAGATCTCACCACTTCGATAGGTATAAGTCTTATAACCTTGTGGGTGATGTTTGCAGACTGATGCTTTGGCTGATTTTAGTTGTAATTAACCAAATTGAGTGGTCCTGCAGTCAGGCTGAATTAGGGGATGCGCGCTTGGTCCTGGTCAACAAGTAAAGGCTCTGGTCAACAAGTAAAATCATTGGCTTTTATGTCCAGTCAGAGCACGTCCTCTGATGTAATTGCATGGTGGCATGCTGACGCCTGTGCAATCGGGGTACTTGTCCCACCCATTCATTGCTGCGCCCATGTATTTACGTCACCATGTCCCAAGCAAGGCATTGTTATTGCTTTTTTATTTGACTCTTTTTGGGGCCTGAGGAAAGAAGATTGAATAAAGAAGACTTCAAATGGAAAGAAGTAAACATTTTTTTTACAGTTTTTTTCTAGTGTATGTGTCACTCTTCACTATTACTATTCAAAGAATAGGTAGGGACATCATTTGGGGTGGGTGGCTAGTAGCTTGGGGACTAGCTACCAAGGTGGATTGGGTCACTTTTTGAACCCAGGAGATTGGTCGTCAACTCCTCTCCCACCATAAGTATGAAGATAAAATCTTTATTACATTCTCAGATAAACCATGTTGGAATTTCCATCCCCCACCTAACCCTACCACCCCGAAGAGGAGAAGCCCGAACTAAACCAGAACAATACAACAACTTGAGACTGCAAACAAAAGGGGTACAATAAAAATACCAGGAGAAAGGAGTGAGAAGACAACACAAAACCACAACCAAAAAAAAAGGGGTTGAATAGGGCAACCTACCCCCCACCCTTCATCTTTCTGTACCCTACCCAAACCCCTAGACCACAGTACAATAAATCTGAACAGAATATCGAAATATATTAACACGCTGAAGACAAACAAAAACTATAACTATAAGACGATTGTACTTATGGAGAGCAACAAAATGCAGAAACATCTATATGTATATGCTATGAAAATTAAATGACAAATGCTTACCCCCTGTTTCTTTTCTGTACACCCCCCTCTCCCCTTAAAAAAACAAACACAATCTTTGAAAATAAAGAATTCATAAAAAAAAACTATGTTGGAATTTCACTGAATATAAAAAGATATACTAAGACGAGGTTAGGACTGATTTGTCTTAATATATTCCCTACTCACAAAACTTAACAAAAGGAAGAGCTACCACCACCAAGTTTTGTCATTTCACTTTGCTGTCAGTTTTGTTATCTTGTGCGTGTGCAAGGGCATAACACTGATGTGGGCTCCTGGCAGAAGAAGTGCCTGGAGCTGAAGGGGACCACCAGATATAGATGGCAGTAGCCGTAAGGGTCAGATTCCAAAAGTTAAACTCCCCTTTCTTTGCACCCTGCTGCCACTGCATTGCAAGCTGAGCAGTAACCATCAGCGGTTTTTGCAAAATATGCAAAGATCCCAGATAATGACAGAGCCTTTTTAAAGTTTAAAAAAAAAAACAACGTGTCACTCTTTGCAGTTATAATTGACAGGATTACATCTACTGTTTTCCTAGAATCTTGGTGTCTTAGCATATACACTAGGGAAATAGATCTAATTTATGAGCTCAGGTACTGTCAGAAGTCAATAAAACAAAAAATTGCAGTGTGTAAGGTGCTTCAGGATAGAATAAATATACGTGACCAAAACGTCAGTGGGTTGTGTGATTGATATAATAGAGCTTCCCCAACACTCTAAACATAAAATACCAAATACAGAGTAAATATCAGTGTATACATAAATCCCAGTGCTATAAAAGTGAATAATAAATTATACAACCATATGCGGGTGGATGTAGTGGTAGAAAATAACTAAAATATAAAAAACAACATACTATGAACTGTTTAAAACACTACGTTTGAAATAAATATAGGACTACCACTCACATGGCTCAGAGCTGTACCAGGCTCTGTTTAGCAGCCTCGAGAGTGCCAATACTGGCTTACAAATCCACTGATTACATAGAAGAAGATGAAACTTCAGATGTATGATCAAAAAATATCTATGATGTATGATCAAAAATAGACTTTATTTAAATATAACATGAAAAACTCAAGGTACTTAAATAGAATGGGAGTGGAACTAAACGTGCATTAATCCAAATGGTAAAGAAAACCAGGGTCCCATTCACCAGCTCACAGACAGTAACCAGGAGTATAACACAATGTATAATATGAAGTCAGCCTGCAAGCTATAATATGTACCAATTATTAGATCTAGATAAAAAGATAGTATGTTTTTAAAGTGGCTTCTGAGTAGATCTGATGTCAGCAGCAGCACTCTGCAGCATAGCAAATCAAGGTGATGGCCTTTTTTAAGAAGACTGTTCTTAGAGGGTCTTCAACCATAACTCTCTAAGGAGGTCTATGAGCAGCTGGTATCATCAGGGTTTGCGGCTCCTTTAGTTTTTAAACATATTTCCAGTTCAAAGCTTCTCGTGTTGGTAAAATCTCTCTGTCATTGTAATGGTGTAGAGCCCTCTCTAACATTATAAGTCAGTTGAAAACTCATTTGAGACCTTCTTAGTGGGAACTACTGATAGAGCAAGCTACTGAGCTTTCTCTGCTCCTGGAGTTTGTGTTTCACACCTTGCGTTGGTTTATTTGCATTTTTATGATCGAAGATCCTTTGGCTGTGGCTAGTGAGGCATGAGTTCATCCAAAGCCATTAGGACAATCAGACACCAAATCATTGTTTTGGTTGCTATGCCTCAACCATTTCTTTATACTTGTATATAAATTAAAAGCAATACAACAAGAAACTGCCAGTGTCTATAAATATAGATTAGAAGGTTATATGACTAAACACCATTGAAACACATGCTACAACATAGAAACTACGCATATGAACTGGTAAAAGCAATGTGTGGGTTACCAACCCAGGAAATTACTAAATAAATACTATTCTAGGTGTTTGCCATGTGACCTAACTCAAACAACAATTAGTTTGCACACAAGGTGAAATGTGAAATGTTACACAAACAGTATACAATAATGAGACAGTGATCAAATACATAATATTGTACATTACTAATACCAAAAACGTCATCGTGCTTGCATTGAAATGGAGAGTGTCTACCACCATGCTTATAAGGATTACTATAGATGACAAGAAAACATGCATTAAATAACTAATATAATAATAATAATATTAATGAAAGCTGTTGCAAATATGTATTTAAAAGCATGGTAACAGGAATATATTTGAAAAATGAAGTATTGCGGGAGTAGTTTAGCCATTGAGGAAAATGGCTGCATGTCTTTAGAGCTTTGTTTCTGCAGTATTAATTTATAATATAATTTGCTC